TCCAAGATCCTGCACTACCTGGGTCCCTCAATGAGCTCTATCAGTGTACCTCTGGCTGCCATCACAGCCTTCACTCACCCATCCAGAACTTCTCAGTCTTTGCCCACCCGACAACAACCAGATTTCTCAAGGGTCTATACAACTTGTTTCCTCCCATGGGACAGCTGGCCCCAAAATGGGACTTCAGCCTGGTTTAAATACTCTACAAACCCACCCGCCCCACTCTTGGAACCGATGGCAGCCTGGTCCCTCCTCCATTTCTCCCTCAAAATTTCATTTCTAGCTGCCATCTCTTCAGCAAGTGAACGGGGGAGCAGGGAGCACTCATGGCAGACCCACCATGCCCCACCTTCTACAAATACAAGGTTATACTATGTCCCCATCCTTGCTTCCTACCAGTTTTCTACCCAAAACTTCATGCCTCCAGAGAAGAATCAAGCCTTCATTCACTGGCTGTTGGGGCCCTTGCTTACAATCTGGACAGGACTAAACCATTCCAGACCTCTCCCAGGCTATCGATATCATCTGCAGATAGGATGAAGGACCAACTGATTTACACACAAAGGCTAAGAGGGTTTCAGGTTGTATCTTGACCTACTGTGAAAATGCTAGGGTGCATCCCCTTTACAGAGTAGCACAGCACATTCCACTGGAGCTCAGTCCACAGCTATAGCTCCTCTGAAGGACATTGCCGTAGCAGAAATCTGCAGGACTGGTAATTGGTCTTTTATCGGTACTTTTGCCAAGCGTTATGCCATCTTATCTGCTTCCAGAGATGATGCTGCCTCTCGTGATGCAGTCCTTCAAACTGTCCTGAACTTACCTCCACAACACCTGCCTCCTCACTGAGTTACTGCTTGGGGGTCTCCTACAATGGAGGGCATATACTTGAAGAAGAAGAGATTAAGAACTTAAGTTACTATAAGGTAAGTAGAGATGTTTTATCCCTATGGGTGCTCCACTTCCCACCCTCCTTTCCTTCTACTGTGGAGTTGGCTTCATGATTAAGAAGGAACTGTGTGGTGGCAGGCTCATGCCTCCCTATATGTTCTCATTCTGAGCACAAAGTGCTGCTCTGCCCAGGCATGTGCCCGCAGACACTGCTTTGCAGTCTTCAGCTGAGAGCACACCAGCATGCTCACATCCTTTGGTGGAGCACCCAAAGGGCCAAAACATCTCAAAGCTACTGTAGTGCAAGGAGAGGTTACTTAGCAAAATTAAGCAAAATTAATTCTGATATTCCCTAACTTTTTAGTGCTTGACTTTGCCACCTTAAAATTCTTTTTTACTTTTTTAAAAATATGTTATATAGTGGGTTGGTAGCATCACATATTATTAAGGTTGCCTGACACTTCCCATTATAAGACCCTATTTAACTTTCTTATCACTTTGCCAAACTTTAACCATGCAGGTTGAAATTTTACATGCTGGGTGTGTGCCTCAGGCTGATCATTTCTGGGAAATTTCAGCCAAAAGGGTTTATCAATGTCCAAGAACCATGCTAGGAAAAATATGTTGTTTTGCCCATGTTAAAAAATCCTGGCAACCTTTCTTTTGAGAAGCTTTACCACCCATATGCTTTGAAGCATGGGCCTGAAATTGGATAGGAGGTGACCTTTGGGGTGGGAAGGAGATTGGTACTGGTTCGGGGAAGAGACTGGGAGCTGGGGAGGGAAATGGAGAAAGTGATACTGGGAGCCAATGTGTTTGGGAAGACTGAGAGGAGACAAGGCAATGGTGGGGAAGATTAGGATTGGCTTGGCAAGGAAAATGAAACTAGGAACCAGTGAGGGAGAAAGAGGTGGTCTGGTAGGGGAGAGACATCTAATAAGGAGTCGGAGTTTGGGGGAAGAACTGGAGTGTACTAGGATTGGTATGAGAAGTCTCTGAAGTGAAGAATGGGATTGGCTAGGTGAGGACAATGGGGCTGGGAGGAGGAGCCAGAGTTCCTGTCAATTTACTGTCTTGCTGAATGACAGAGCAGAAGGAGTCAACCTTGGGGGTGAGGGATGGCCAGAAGAGTTTGTGCTGTCTAGAGCACATTCCCCACCAGAGCCTGGAATGGAGCTCAAGATTCTTCTGCTGTCAGCAAATGTCTCTGAAACCCATTGGCAAAATGTCTCATCCATCTCTGGTGCTAGGCCACGTAGAGGATAACAACCTACTATTGCTGGTTGCATGATTGCTACTCTGAAGAATTATATTCTGTCCCTGATTCTGCCACAGAGTTCCTGTCTGATGTCAGTCAAGTCACCTAAACTAGTCTTTTCACAGGTGTTCACTAATTGTGTTTTCCTTACTTTCTGGCTGCCTGACTTGAGACCCTGGGTTCTGATTTGCAGAAGTAGTGAGCACACATAGCTGCCACTGCGTTCATTGGGAGCTGTGTTTTGAACATATGTAATAATAATTCTATATCTTTCCTCATCTCGTATTTTTGACAGGTTTCCATTCCCCATGCCATGATATTGTACCAATTAGAACTGTGCACCACCCTTCCTTTTGTCCTGACCACTTTTTGTCAATTGAGTTGGCCATATAGTGTTGGAAGCCCTATCTCCCCTCTTCTCCCACTGCCAAGGCTCCTATGTATGAACATTTTTGGCTCCATCATCCATTTGGGGGGGAATTATTTTAAAAATATTATTTACTATACCCTTCTTGGAAGCATTAAAAGTAAATCATAGAATTATAGGACTGGAAAGGACCTCGAGACATCATATAGTCCAGTCCCCTGCTCTCATGGCAGGACTAAGTATTATCTAGACTATCCCTGACAGGTGTTTGTCTAACTTGCTCTTTAAAATTTCCAATGATGGAGATTCCACAACCTCCCCAAGCAATTTATTCCAGTGCTTAACCAACCTGACAGGAAATTTTTCCTAATGTCAAACCTCACAACACACCTGCTAATACATCCCAGAATGATGTTTACTTTTTTGCAACAGTGTTACACTGTCAACTCGTATTTCGCTTGTGAAGTCACTATGACCCCCAGATCCCTTTTTGCAGTAGTCCTTCCTAGGCAGTCATTTCCCATTTTGTATGTGTGCAACTGGTTGTTCCTTCCTAAGTGGAGTACTTTGCATTTGTCCTTATTGAGTTTTATCTTATTTACTTCAGATCATTTCTCCAGTTTGTCCAGGTCATTTTGAATTTTAATCCTGTCCTCCAAAGCACTTGCCACCCCTCCCAGCTTGGTATTGTCCACAAATTTGATAAGTGTACTCTCTGTGCCATTATCTAAATAATTGATGAAGATATTGAACAGAACTGAACCCAGAACTGATCCCTTCACTCAATATGCCCTTTCAGCTTGACTGTGTACCACTGATAACTATTCTATGGGAATGGTTTTCCAGCCAGTTATGCACCCACCTTATGGTAACTCCTTCTAGGTTTTATTTCCCTAGTTTGTTTATGAGAAGATCATGTGAGACAGTATCAAAAGCCTTACTAAAGTAATGATATACCACATCTACTGCTTTCCCCCATCTACACAGCTTGTTACCCTGTCAAAGAATGTATACATATAGATTTCACATAGATTACCCTCCCCCAACACAAATACATGCACTCGGAAAGCTGCTGTGTAGCAAGTCCAGTAGTGCTGCATGTATGTTATTAATTACCCTGTACTTGTGGATGTTCTCAGTGATGCACATCTTGGTAGCGCACTGTGTGATTATCGTACAGTCAGAAAATTCAGTAAGATAGTCAATTAACAAAAATCATATCCTTATCTATAACAGATACCTAATTTATTCAGAGACAAATCTATTATCTGAATGTGACCCCATATGCCTGAACATCAAGCAGCACATATCACAATATCAGTATATTATCTGTATTACAATATATATTGCATTTAGTGCCCGGCCATCCTACAAAGTCTGTCAAGAAGCAATGTTCCCACATCAGTATTTGCTGCCACCCATGTGCAAATTGGAAAAGAGTTTCTATTCTGCTTTTGGAGGGGAGGACACACTGTATCTATATATCTCCTGAAGTGTGTGAGATTTGTTTGTGGCCACTTCTCTTTTTAGAAAGACAATGTACATCTTTCTTCAGCATACCCATAAAGTGAGTAAGCCATGTATACAACAGTGTTCTTCCATCTGCTTATGATGGAAAAATAGGCTAGCAGTTGTTTGGTGTAATTTAACACCCAGACTTTTTAAAAAAAAGTGCAACTTATATCCTTTTACTCAAATGCATTCCATACATCAGATGGAAAAATCATACCCCTCTTTTTCCATCACTCAATGAGATCCTCCAAGATAGCTGTTAACCTTACTTTCAGTTTCAATAACCCTGTCCAAATCTACTGGCAGTCTGGAGCTTAATAAATGTTGCCTATGTGTTTGTACTGAGTTTTGCCTCTGGTATTTAGACTTTAAGTGACCTGAAACTTTTGGAAAATACAGGAGTGTTTACATGTGCATGTGAATTAGACCTAATCAAAATGTAACTGTAATACTGTTTCACTTTGGCACTAATCAATCACTGAGCTGTTTGTTGCATTCAACATGGTTATTAGTGATATTGCACACAAAATGTATTCTATACAAGTGGGGGAGAAAGCACAAAAGTAGTTTTAATTTTTATATTTCTTGGCGAATGAGAAAGCAAGGTGTCACCCCAGTCATATTTTTCCAGTGTTGTAGACAATAGGAATGTATGTCTAAAATGAATAAGGTTCTGATTAAAAGCCCATTGAAATTCAGTGGATTTTGAATCAGGCCTTGTCTGAAGAGAATGAGTTTAAATATTAATTCACTGATCTGGGGTTTGTTTAGAAAAAGAATGGAAGGCTGAGAGAGTGCTGAGAGAGTATATAGAAAATGAATGATATGATTGGAAAAAGGCTCAAGAAGATGTGATGGGTTTTGGGTTTCATTTTTCTGTGCTTTCATTAGTTGCCGTTCTTCTCTTGTCACATAGGACAGCACTAATTACCTGGTTATTGGTTTGTTTTCTTTGTCATTTGTAACTTGAAGAATCGCAACAGAAATGCCCTGCCCGCTTGAAGGACTTTGCCCTAAAATATCTTATTTGGGACTGTTGTCCACTGTGGTTGAGAATCAAGAAAAAGGTGACAATTTTAGTAATGGATCCATTTACTGACCTCACCATCACTTTTTGCATCGTGATGAATACTATCTTCATGGCACTAGAGCACTATAAAATGAGAAGAAATTTAAAATTCATGCTTGACGTAGGCAACAAGGTAAGTGAATTCTGACATTCACTATCAAGAATGAATTTATGTGTATTTCTACCCAGGATACAAAGAATGGTGGTAAGAACAAAAGATTCATTTATTCATTCTCTGTCTATTAATTTCTGGGATATGGGATTCCCAAATGTTACTCTTGTTTCACAGTAGTTCTAAACATCCTTTAGAATATGAGCAGACAAGGCTAGAATTTTTGTTGACAATCTGTTATGATATACATGATAAAAGTAGGGTTTGCTGTTCAGACTTTACTGATGTACCTATATCTATGCTACTACATTTGTGGGCCAAGGGACGTACTGGCCGCCGCTTCCAGCAGCTCTCGTTGGCCTGGAGCAGCGAACCGCAGCCCCGATCGGCCAAACCTGTGGACACAGCAGGTAAACAAATTGGCCCAGCCCGCCAGGGGCTTTCCCTGCACAAGCAGCGGAACGAGTTTGGGAACCACTGGTCTAGAGAGATGTGCTCACAGTACCTTTTAGGCAGACATGACTTACTGTTTCTTTTATCATAGGTCTTTACTGGAATTTTTACTGCAGAAATGGTCTTGAAAATCATTGCTCTAGATCCCTACTACTATTTTCAGCACCGCTGGAATATTTTTGACAGCTTAATTGTCACTATAAGCTTAATCGACCTGAGTTTACCCACCAAAGGTAAAGGAAGAAAAGAACGAGGAAACCTGTTAGTTTTACGTTCCTTCAAACTGGTAATGGCTCATATATATTCAGTCTCATAAAACTTTTTTTGCATGAATACAATAGAGAGGATTTTAGTTCCCTCATTCAGTGCAATTTCTACACCCTCATATTAGGAACTGGAAACTCATTTTGTCTAATTTCAAACCCATTTAAAACTTTGACAAACAAATATAGCATTTGTATTTCACTGTGAGATGATTTAAAAACATGGAATAAAAGGAGTACAAGAAATATCCAAAGTTAAGATGTAGTTAATGTTGGAGGAGAGAATGAAAAGAATGAAGAATGAAAAACAAATTCAGAGAAACTGAGAAAGAAGAAATGGAGGAGAAAAAATGTAATAAAGACATATTTATACTGTATAATCACTATACACTTGTGCTATCCTAGATTTTAGGGAGGTGGTTGGTTTATCTATTCATACACTATATTACAGTCTTCTTTTTAGTTAGAAACACTTTTAAAAAAAACAAATAAAACAATCTTGGGAAAGGTGTGATTTTTAATTTAAAGTGAAAATGGTTTGCAAACTCAATTTTTTCTGGTAAATCCTACAAACCCCTGAAATAGTGTTTCAGGTTCATGAAATCTTCAAAATGCATGTTTCTCCATCCTTACCTCATTTCAGTTTGGAATGGAAAGTTGCTGTTCTTCATATTAACTATTGCAACAGCAACTGCTATACCATCTCCAGCAACAATATTTAGTGTTGTCAACTAGTTCCTTCTCCCATGATGTACTTTTTGCAAGTTGTTCTTCTGCTTGTCAGAGACCATCACAGCAAGCAGCTTCTGAGGAGAAAACGTGTCAAAATTAAAGGAATGGCTGAAAAGAAAAGCAAATCATGTGACAAAAACTCTATATAACTTTTGAAATATAGGCATCTGACCCTGAGAGAGAGAAATGTGTGAGCTTTTCAAATAAACCAAACAGTCTCGGGCTAAGATTATTATTTTATAGTGCCCACATGAAAGAATGAGGATGTTTTTCTGAATCTAGGCCTCAGGCCCCACTCCTACAAACACTCAATCATGTAACTTTACACACATCAAGAGACTTGGAGTTACTCTTGTGTGTAACAGTTCGCAGGATTGAGGCCTGTGTGATGGATTGGGTAGACAAAAGGAGGATATAACAGGCATCCTCATTTTAAATGTTTTTAGGATGTCTCCTAAACACAAATTTAGGAAAGGCATCCCTATTCCAGAAAGCACTTAAGTATGTGTGTGTCAGTTAAACACATGCTTAAGTGCTTTCTTGAATAGGGATGGATTTAAGTGTCAGCTCAAGTGCTTTCCTGAATTGGAATTTTAGCGGGTATTTTGTGATTTGTTTGAAGGTATCTTACTTTCTCCCAATGCACAAACAGAGATGTATTGTATCTATATATAAACTATATAGGCACCCATTTTCCCATTTATTTATTTCCCCCTTTGGTGTACCAGTCTACTGTTGCCACCTTGTCAGTCATACTTGTTACTGGTTCTTCTTTGTGGTAATTTTTTTCTTTTTGATTAATTAGGATTTCTGAAAAAGATCCCATAAGAATTGTATTCATCAAGATTGGAGATCTATCATAACATTTATCTTTGAAGAAAGTTACTTACCTATTATTATTTTCTGAATACATTGTACTGTGGTTGTAATAGATCATTATTCACCAGCTCAGAATTATATGTTGTTGTTTTTACCATTTTATTTTCAAAATGGCAAGGAACTGACTTTTTAAAAGATTACAGGCTGACATTTGCCAGAGGCAGAGATCCTAAGTGTCATGAGATGTTATAACTTCTATAAATACAAAGAACAAGAATTACAGATAAGTAATTACCTTTCTGCATCAACATGTAGACCCTAATCGAGCAAAGTCCTTTAAGCACATGCTTAATTTTAAGCATGTAAGAAGAGCCATTGAAGTCACATGCTTAAAATTAAGCATATACTTTATGTGGCTTGCTTGTTTAGTGTCTGTGATACTGTGGTGATGGATGCTATAAAAACTTAAGATAGATCCTTGGCCTGATTTACAGAGGTGCTGAACAGCTATGACTCCTGTTTAAGTCAGTGGGAATTGTGGGTGCTCAGCATCTCTAAAATTCAGGACATTTGCATGTAAATATTTGGTTATTGAAAATGGAACTAAAGTACAGATTATGATAAACAGGAACTTAAGTTCTGATTCTAGAAGATGTGAAAGTGCAGGAAGAAGGAAATGCAACAGCTTGCTTGCCTGAGAAACTCACAATGGAAGGTGCTAATAAATTGCTACTAGTGGTATGGTAAACATTTATGTTATGGAATTGTGGAAAGACCACAACCAGGATTGTGGTATCATTGTGCTAAAAGACACACAGATGAAGAGAAGGTGACAAAGATATAACATATAAACAAATCAGTAGTCTATATTACATAGATCATATACTGACTTAAAATACCCTACATTTCATAGTGTTTGAGTAGTTTGAAATGTCTGCATAATGTTTTTTTAACCATTTTTAAACAGTGCAAAATGAAGAATATCTAATCTTCTGTTGTCTAATGCTATGTTTTATGTTTATACACAGCTGAGGGTCTTCAAACTGGCAAAGTCCTGGACGACTTTGAATACACTTATTAAAATCATTGGTAACTCAGTGGGTGCCGTGGGTAACCTTACCCTGGTTCTGGTGATCATAGTCTTTATTTTTGCTGTAGTAGGAATGCAACTTTTCGGTAAAAGCTACAAAGAACATGCCTATAAAATAAGTAAGGATTGCAAGCCACGTTGGCATACAATGGATTTTTTCCACTCATTCCTTATTATATTCCGAATTCTGTGTGGAGAATGGCTTGAAACCATGTGGGATTGTATGGTGGTAGCTGAGCAACCATTATGCCTTATTGTCTTCTTGCTGGCCATGGTGATAGGAAACCTAGTGGTGAGTTTCCAGATACGTTTCTCTTTTTATTGCCTGTAGAGTATACAATATACTGACTTATAGAGATAAGGTAGGTGAGGTAATATTTTTTATTGGACCAACTTCTGTTGGTGAGAGAGACAAGCTTTGGAGCTTACACAGAGCTCTTCCTCAGGTCTGGATTCAGCAGACCTGAAGAAGAGATCTGTGTAAATTCAAAAGCTTGTCTCTTTCACCAACAGAAGTTGTTCCAGTAAAAGATATTACCTCATCCACCTTGTCTCTCTAATATCCTGGGACCAACACAGCTACAAAACACTGCATAATATACTGACTTGTCTTTCTATGAATGGTAGGTCTCCTACAGATGGTGGTAAAGGAGCCACACCATGTCAATTGTGCTCTAGTAAATCCCCTATTTATCTTTCACATGTGGAACTCATGTTCATATTTAAAATAAGACACTTTTTCAATATTGCATCACTGAACCTTTTCACAGACCAGTATTCATTCCAATGAGGAACAATTTTCTAACAGAAAAAAATTACTAGCAACAATTTTCTTTTTCATCTCAAGACTTTGGAAATAATCACGAAGGGCTGAATGCTCAAAAGGAGTTAGGCTCCAACTGTCTACTTAGGCTCCTAATTTCTGTTGAAATCAGTGGAAGTTACTGATAGATAATGGAAGTTAGGAGCCTAACTTTATTTTTAATAGTTTCCATTGATTTCAATGGGAGTTAGACGCCTAAATAGAAAGTAGGAACCTAACTCCTTTTGAGAATATATCACAACCTGTTTTTTGTTTAAGAACTTGTTTCTCTACTGAGTTATTTGCAGGCAATCCCTGGGCCCACACATGAACCCACTGAAATCAGGATTCTGTCAGAACATAGCTCAATGCAGGCTCATAATTTAGTTCTCTTTAGATGCAAGACATTGGATCTGCTTTTCCTCTTTCTTATAGTAGGCTAAATCAGAAGTAAATACTCTAAATCAGAAGTAAATACACTAAAATTAGTGTTGTTGCCCTACCGTAAAAGTAGAGTTCCTGAGAGAAAACTAACTCTCAGATGAAATTTTCGTTTCCAAAATTTGAATTACTTTTGTCGGCTTTCTGCGAATCAGTGGAATCTCGTTTGTTTGTTTGTTTGTTTTTAAACAAATATTAAGATGTGAACATTGTATTTTGTGTGGGAATAATAAAAACCTTAATCTGGAAGTAAGTTTGAAAGTACATATCAGTAATTTAAGAGCCCCAAATATTATAAAGATGTTTTAATTTATCCCCAAAACAAGCATTACAAACCCAGGATATTCAGAGAGAATGAAAAACATCAGCCTAGGATGTTTACATGGCATCCTCCCACGCATACTCCCACATTTGCAAACATAGTGCAGAATTAATATATATAAAAAAGACTCATAAGGGGGTACAAGACCTGATGCTTCTTTTGCTTACACCAGTGTCAGGAGTTACTCCATTGGAGGAAGTGCGAGGAGGATCATGACCAAAAATTCTCATTTTACATTTTAAAATAGTAGATTGGAGCTGGCAGTGATCTCTTTTTAGAGAAGCTTAGTGCAGTAAAGCCAGAAATACATAGGAGCCTGGGAATGAGAAAAGGGAAGTGGACAGCGTAACTTGGGTTCCACCAGTGGAATCTGGGTTGTGGGAGCTGCCAGTCTCTCTCTGGTGGAAGTCTGCTTGGAGATGTGAGGTTCATGGCTGACCTGCACAGCTCTAAATGTGGGCAGAGGAGAATCAGGATGGGTGAAGGACATGTTAATTAGTGCATCTTCTTCCCACAGAGCTCGTAGGGAGTCCTGGATGGAACTTACAGTTGTCAGAAATCTTTTGTGGCAGCAGGGTGAGGGGATGTATGATACCCACCTGGGGATGACCGTCTGTCCGAAAGCAAAGCATCATAAATAATCTGGGGGCTCTGTTCAGCTAAAGAATGTCCGTCAGGGGACTTGATAACCAGCACCCGAAGGGTTTAAACACCAAGGAAGGGGTAGATTTATTTAGTGTGGGTTTTGGACCCAATGCAAATCCGAAGCAATTCCACTCAGGTCTGATGGCGTTTCCCTTAAGAAAACCATCATGAGACTAAAATCAGGCCCTTACTAGTCTTTACTATGCTGAATCTGTGCTCTTAGCCTAATACAGGGGGTGATAGTTCTACTGTACAAATCATCTCCAGCTTCCTTTTGCCAATTCTGGCCAGCTAAAGGAACCGTGCCCCCATAATTATATATATCAGTAACTTTGTAATTGTCTCCCCCTCAAGGAATTGATGGAACGTAATGATACACCAACTTTTATTTCTTTTACTCCACTTGGAAGTGCTCCCAGGAGACTGACTCTGAGGCAAACATTAAACGTTCTTCAGTTGCTAGGCCTCATAAGCTGCAGCACCTGGTGGATCCCAATATGCACTTGGTGAATTGTCTCCAAATTCCATACTCTTCCCAGTTCCCTCAGAGACACTGTCTCCCGGACCACCTTCTCACCAACATCCTTCTCAGCTGCCATAAAATCTTCCCTCCTTCATCAACTCATCCTTCACAGCTGATACTATTAGAATTTATTCCCAGACAAACAATATGTTAAGCAGAAGGGTGCATAACAGTGTTTTAAAGGTAATAAACATTTTAAGAATGTTGCAACCATCCCCAAAACAAACTTTATAAACAGAACGTTCAGGATTCAGGATAAACTTAAGGGAAATCTAAACATATTACGATAAGGAAATGCACAGTTAATGCACCCAAACAACCTAACTCTTTCCTATAGTGATGCCAGGCAATAACCATAAAAATATTGATGTATTTTAATGCTTATTGTCCCAGGTTAGATTAAAGTGATTTTAAAAGACGTGTAAGATTTGTTTAATCTTTTTTCCCCCTCCACGTATCACCACAGGGCCAAGGTAAGGCTCTTTGTGTGCTGTACCTGGGCGTTCCATGTTTTGACTTTTTAAACTCAAGATTTATCTCTGCCAAGTTTTGCATAGATAGATAATACATGAATTGAAAACATTTAAGACAAGAAGTGCTGACAGAGAGTGCTACATTTTTTGTGTAATTTTAACTCATATATTAATGGATTTACTTGCAAATGCTCAGACAATTCATTTAATACTCAAAGAGTAAATGCTGTAATTTTGGGGAAGATGCAGAGTATTCTTCATACAAATATAAAAAGATTAAATTCTTGTTTGAAGAGCAAAACTCCACTCAGTCTTCACTATATAGTCATGACCACAATTTATTATTAATTTACCATTACTATTATTAACATTTTAAAACATGTTGCAGTAAAATTGTGTGATTTTCATACACAGGCCTGTATTACAGAAAGGGTCAGTTTTATGCCACAAAAATGTTTTTTGTTTTTTATTTTTTGGAGGATCATGAAAACATGCACTTTTGAGATCTAAACATGCTCTATGAAAAATAATTTTATGAACCATAATTTTGTTTTGTCTTAAGGTTGATGCATTAAGAACAAATTGTTTAGAAACTGACTAATCTTCAAGCCTCCTATTTAAATTTCAAAATTATATTGCCATGATTTTCTTTTCACTTCAATTATTTTCAGGTTCTCAATCTGTTCATTGCACTACTGCTGAACTCCTTCAGTGCTGACAACCTTCAAGCACCTGAAGATGATGCAGAGGTGAACAACCTTCAGATTGCATTTGCTCGGATCCACAAAGGACTTCACTTGCTGAAACACTCAACATGGGATTACTGTTGTGGAAAGCTCCGGCATCCAAAGAAAGTCACCAAAAAGAAAATTAAATTAGCTGCTGAGAACACATGTGTGGAGATTGGGAAAGAAGGGAAGAAGTGTAAAGAAAATCACAGTAACAATGTGACTGAGAAAAATGGAGAAAAATGCTCAGTTAGCATTCTTGAAGATTTTATCACCAACCCCAACATGTTTGTCTGCGTCCCGATTGCTGAGGCAGAATCTGATAGTGAGGACTATGAAGATGATGATGATAATCCAAGTACATTCACAGAAATGGAGAACAGTAAACAGGTAAGAAGCCTAGTCAGGAAAAGATGTTTGAGACTACAGGCTCTTTAATGGAGCTGGCAAAGGCATAGCATGATCCAGCTGCAGGAAGATGAATTTAGAAAAAATCAAGAGAGAACTAAAATGTAATTTTTCAAAAGTGAGGGTAATTACCCATTGGAAGAACTTACCAAGAGGTTTGGTCAATTTTCTATCTCTTGGAGTCCCTGTGGCTCTTCCACTTCAGGTATCAGGGCATCCTGGCGACGTCAATTGGAGATTTATGGTAGCAGTGTCCTCGCAGGTCGCGCAGTGCCATTGGTGCCGCGTCTAGCGTACACACAACCCGAGCCCTGCAGTTCCTTCTCAACTGTCCTCGGCTGAAGACAGAGCCCTGGGGCAGTGTTCATCATTCTTCCAAACCTGTTGGAAAAAAAATAATGTAATTAGTTAGTCATATAGAAAGGTGTAGTTAGTGTAGTGTTAGTTTTTATTACCCCTAACCACCCCCCAAAGTTTAAGTTTATCCTCCCCACACTGGGGGCGGTTAACCATTAAGATGTCTGGCTCCCCAGGCTTTAAGCAATGCGGCTCCTGCCATGAAGCAATGCCCATTTCGGGCAGACACTCTTTGTGTGTTCGTGTTCTTGGGGAGGCGCATACTACTTCTTGACCCAGAAGAAGAATGGGGGATGGAGACCTATCTTGGATCTTAGGAAACTCAACAAGTTCGTACACACTCAGAAGTTCAAGATGGTGACACTGGGCACGATACTTCCAGTGCTGCAAAAGCGGGACTGGTTTTCAGCCCTTGACCTCCAAGATGCTTATTTTCATATTACCATATACCCTTCTCACAGGAAATTCCTGTATTTCACAGTAGGACACAAACACTTCCAGTACAGAGTACTGGCACCAAGAGTTTTCTCCAAAAACCTAGCAGTAGTAGCAGCACATCTACGCAAACAGGGAATAAAGATTTTCCCTTACCAGGACGATTGTCTTTTCAAAGGCCCAACTCAACAAGAAGTACTGTACTCAGTCCAGATGACAATTACACAATTCAGGGATCTAAGGTAGAGATAAATGAATGAAAATCCACTCTAATCCCTGTCCAACAACTGGACTTTGTTGGGGCACATCTCGATGCCATAGAAGCCAAGGCATCTCTGCCCCTGAACAGATTCACAACTCTGACAAACCTTATCTCAGTGGTACAGTTCAGCACCAAAATACCAGCTTGTACTGTCCAGCAACTGCTAGGACACATGGTGGCCACAACATTTGTGGTACAACACGCAAGACTACATATGTGCTATCTACAGGGCTGGTTGAGCTCAGTATACGTACCCAGCAAGCACAGCCTACCTAGAGACTCATCATATCAATCTACTAGAGCTAAGCACAGTCCGCAATGTCTGCAGACATTTCCTACATCACATAAAGAACAAATTCATGCACATCATGATCGACAACATTGCATGCATGTTTTACATCAATTGCCAAGGAGGCGCTCGATCACACTTGGTATGCACCAAAGCCATGAAACTGAGGAACTGGTGCAAATACCACAACATAAACATTTTTGCCTCATACCTTCCCGGCTGTCAGAACGCAATGGCAGACACACTAAGTAGGTACTTCTCTCAAGACCATGAATGGGGGAGTCTTGCTGTCCATTTTCCACCAGTGGGCCCTCCCCTCATCGACTTGTTCACATCCCCAATGAACCACAAATGCGCAACGTTCCACTTGAGAGCGGGAATGGGACCCCGGTCACTGGGGGACAGCTTTCTCATCACATGGAATGCACACCTCATGTATGCTTTCCCACCAATTCCACTGATATCACATGTGATACACAACATAAGAACAGACAAGGCCAAGGTTATCCTCATAGTCCTGACATGGCCCAGACAAGCATGGTACCCTTACCTGATGCGCATAGCGATATGCACCCCTTGAGCTCTTCCTCATCATCTGAACCTGCTGTCTCAGAACAATGCTCGCACACTTTCCCTGAATCGAGAGAAACTCCACCTACAAGCATGGCTCCTGCATGGTTCCATCCTGGCAAACTAGCCTGCTCAGAACAAGTTAAACTCGTGCTACTAAACAGCAGGAAGATGACCACATGTAATACTTACCTTAAAAAATGGAAGATATTCTCCTCCTGGTGTCAAGAAATACACTTGACAGCCTCCACAGCACCACTGTCATTAGTGTTGGAATACCTACTGGAGCAGAATCGATCAGGTTTAGCAATGAGCTCAACCAAAGTCCATCTTGCAGCCATTACTGCATTCCATCATGAGATTGACAGGACCTCGATCTTCGCACACCCAATTACTAAATGGGTCTCCAGAACATTTACCCAGAAGTTTGTCAACCTACCCTGGCCTGGGACCTCAGTCTGGTATTGAAATGCCTCACCAGACTACCATTGGAACCCTTAGCCACCTACTCCCTGCTGCATTTGTCCATGAAAGTGGCCTTTTTGGTTGCTATTACTTCCGCCAGATAGGTGAGTGAGATAGGGGAGCTCATATCAATCCTCTGTACACAATATTCTCTAAAGATAAGGTCATGCTACATCCGCACCCAAGATTCCTACCAAAAGTAACATCAGCCTTCCATATGAACCAACCAATCCATCTTCCCATGTTCTATCCCAAGCCTCACAGCACTCCAGCAGTGGCCATTTTGCATACATTGGACGTTAGGCATGCATTAGTGTTTTACCTGGGAAGGACCAAACCTTCCCGAAAATCTCCTAGACTGTTTGTTTCTACTACAGAGCGTTCTAAAGGCTGCACAATATCCACTCAGAGATTGTCTAAATGGATCTCCCCATGCATTCAACAGTGCTATCGTATTTGGAACATGGACCCTCCTGCGCACATCAGAGAGCATTCCATACAATTGGTTTCTACCTCAATAGCGTTCCACAACAATGTTTCGATATTAGAGATTTGTAGGGCGGCCACTTGGGCTTCTGTCCACACGTTCACTGAGCACTATGCAATCACTCCGGACTCCAGGGCTGACACCATAGTTGGCCTAACCATACTTACCTCTATGACTCAAATGAACCCGAAGGCCCTCCTGCCTTCTGAGGGGCACTGCTCTACAGTCACCCGAAGTGGAACACCTCCAGGGACAGCACTTGAAGAAGAAGAGAAGCTCTCCTCCCCTCTACTTCAGAGTTCGCAGTTGGGAATCTGCGGTAGAGAAGGAACTGGAAGGCTTGGGTTGTGCGCATGCTAGATGCAGCACCACGAGACGCCTACTGTGAACACACAGACACTGCTACCGTAAATCTCCAATCAACGGTGCCAAGACGCACAGACATCTGAAGTGGAGCACCCACAGGGACACACATCTTGAAGAACCTCAGTTACTGCACAAGGAGAGTAACTTTCTCATCTATGTTCAGCATCAGTAACCTGGTGGAGAGAAAATTTATTTCTTGGATAAAGTACATAATGTCAAGGGCTCAAATTGTGAATTTTTAACAAGGAGGCCTCACCTTCTTTTTTGTCCTATCAACATGTCCCAGAAAATAATCTTTAGAAGAAGATTAATGGGTTAAGAAAGGAATGGCTCTGTCAACTTATGCTTATTATATTATAGTGTATAGAATGACATTTCTTTATGTTTGTCTGAATTTTTGCAGTTCCCTTTTACCTATGGAGTCATGACTGACTATGACTCTAAAATGTTCCCCTTCTGGTCCTGAAGGCTGCTACATAGTTATACTGAGTTCCTCGCTAAGTCCAGATGCAAAGATTCCCACTGACATCAGTAGGCTTTGGATCAGGCCTGGCTAAACTGTGGGTTTCTTAATTTATTTTAGGTCACCGATGAAAACTTTCCCCTCCTTTATTTCTTTCTGTAAAAATAAAGATACTGAAAATGAGCCGTTCAAGGTGCTTTATGTTCCATTTGGAGCATTCTCCCTTAAAATTATGTGTGCCGTCCCTCTGCCACCAAAAAGAAAAGAGAAAATAAAATAAACACATCTAAGATTATCTTCAGCAGGAAAACCACCAGAGACAGAGGGGAGAACAAAGTAAAAGATCAGGAGCTTGGTGTAAAGGATCTGCGATTTTCTCTGAAGACTTAAATGAGTTTAACATAGGTAAACAATGGAAGGCTGGATCATCATCTCTACTACAAAAAGAGGTAACACTGTGTTCATATCTAACATGGAATCACGAACATTGGTTGATTTCCTTTATATCTGTTTTATTTTTTCGGAATTTATAAAGATCATTAATCAAGAAATAATTTGTACTTTAAATTTTGTATTTATTACCCTATTTTGTGTTAATGCACAAGAACTCTCTAATTTACTAGTCAAAGGATCATAGAAGATTAGGGTTGGAAGAGACCTCAGAAGGTCATCCAGTCCAACCACCTGCTCAAAGCAGGACCAACACCAACTAAATCATCCCAGCCACTGCTTTGGCAAGCCAGGCCTTAAAAACCTCTAAGGATGGAGATTCCACCACCTCCCTAGGTAACACATTCCAGTGCTTCACTAGCCTCCTAGTGAAATAGTTTTTCCTAATATCCAACCTAGACCTCCCCCACTGAAACTTGAGACCATTGCTCCTTGTTCTGTCATCTCTGAGAACAGCATAGCTCAATCCTCTTTGGAACGTGTCCCCCCCCCCCCTTTCAGGTAGTTAAAAGCTGCTATCAAATCCCCCCCCTCTTCTTTTCTGCAGACTAAATAAGCCCAGTTCCTTCAGCCTCTCCTCATAAGTCATGTGCCCCAGCCCCCTATTCATTTTCATTGCCCTCTGCTGGACTCTCTCCAATTTGTCCCCATCCTTTCTGTAGTGGGGGGCCCAAAACTGGATGCAATACTCCAGATTTGGCCTCCCCAGTGCCAAATAGAGGGGAATAATCACTTCCCTTAATCTGCTGGCAATGGCTCCTACTAATACAGCCTAATATGCCTTTAGCCTTCTTGGCAACAAGGGCACACTGTTGACTCATATCCAGCTTCTCATCCACTGTAATCCCCAGGTCCTTTTCTGCAGAACTGCCGCTCAGCCAGTCGGTCCCAGCCTATAGGTGTGCATATGATTCTTCATCCTAAGTGCAGGACTCTGCACTTGTCCTTGTTGAACCTCATCAGATTTCTTTTGGCCCAGTTCTCCAATTTGTCTAGGTCACTCTGGACCCTATCCCTACCCTCCAGCATATCTACCTCTCCCCCCCCCCAGCTTCATGTCATCCACAAACTTGCTGAGGGTGCAATCTATCCCATCATCCAGATCATTAATGAAGATGTTGAACAAAATCAGCCCCAGAACCAACCCATAGGGCACTCTGCTTGATACCTGCTACCAACTAGACATCGAGCCATTGATCACTACCCATTGAGCCTGAAGATCTAGCCAGCTTTCTATCCACCTTATAGTCCATTCACCCAATCCATACTACTTTAACTCGCTGGCAAGAATACTGTAGGAGACCATATCAAAAGCTTTGCTAAAGTCAAGGTATATCATGTCCACCACTTTCCCCATATCCACAGAGCCAGTTATCTCATCACAGAAGGCAATCAGGTTGGTCAGGCATGACTTGCCCTTGGTGAATCCATGTTGACTGTTCCTGATCACCTTCCTCTCCTCCAAGTGCTTCAAAATGGATTCCTTGGAGGACCTGCTCCATGATTTTTTTGGGGACTGAGGTGAGGCTGACCAGTCTGTAGTTCCCTGGATTCTCCTTCTTCCCTTTTTTAAAGATGGGCACTATATTTGCCTTTTTCCAATCATCCAGGACCTCCCCCGATCACCATGAGTTTTCAGAGATAACGGCCAATGGCTCTGCAATCACATCAGCCAACTCCCTCAGCACCCTTGGGTGCATTGTATCTGGCCCCAGGCACTTTTGCCTGTTCAGCTTTTCTAAATAGTCCTTAACCTGTTCTTTCACTATTGAGGGCTGCTCACCTCCTCCCCATACCGTGCAGCCCAGTATAGCAGTCTGGGAGCTGACGTTGTCTGTGAAGACCGAGGCAAAAAAAGCATTGAATACTTCAGCTTTTTCCACATCATCTGTCACTAGATTGCCTCCCCCATTCAGTAAAGGTCCCACACTTTCCCTGACCACCTTCTTGTTGCTAACATACCTGTAGAAACCCTTTTTGTTACCCTTCACATCCCTTGCTAGCTGCAACTCCAGTTATGGGAGTCCCCAGATATCTTAGCCACATAAGTGTTCACAATTGGATCATAACATCACTAAATTTAGTTGCATTAGTAGTATTTATCTTGAAGTATTCTGTCTCACTGATGAAGGGTAGAGTAAGTGGATTTCAGTGAATGCAAATGGCACAATGCTGTATTTCTAAGTATTGATATAAAACATTAATAGGAAGAGAAATAGTTCTGAGTTACTGAAATAATTTTATTAAAAAGGTCACTATAAAATTAACATTACCTACTTTATTTTTCTTTAAATCTGAATTATTGAAATAAAGAGGTGTTAAAAGATTGTCCCAGAAAATTCTGGTGTGTGCAGCATGTTCTTTCTTTTTGAGTTGGAACAACTTTAAGTGAATGTTGTATATGTAATCATGAATATTCAGCTTTGAAAATTGCTCCTTCGGTCAGAGAAAGGAAACATACCATGTGGCCTGTGAGACCAATCAAAACAGCTCAAATTTCAAACACAGAATATTTTAAATGAATTGCTCACAAATAAACTAAAGTCCAATGATTATTCACAGAAATATTTTGGAGAGTAATTTTGAACAATGAATATATGCAATTTGGAAACAGTAAAAATAATTGAATAAATTATTAGTTATGAGTTATTCACACATCTCTAGTGGTGTGACATCCTAAATATAATGAAATAGGATGGAAGTCTGTGCTAGAGAAGAATACATGATGTGATTACATATGCTATTTCATGTAAACTACCATGGGCATTTCATAGTTTCATTCTGAACAGAAAGTTTTAGAGCTCTACAAAGTAGTCCTTTGATGAAAATTATATTTTCTCTTTTTGCCTTCTCTATTTTTTCATGTGTTGTCCTCTGTTTTAATTGTTTTCAGCCCAAGCTAGTAGAGTGTTTTAAAGCCTATCCATGTTTGAAAACCACATGTACTTGAATGCAGAGAAATTGGAATCATTCCCATTTGTGAGCTTTACTAGAGTGATTAATCTGGTTCCTTTTAAATATAACTTTGACTTCTGTTTGAATTGATGTGGAGATTTTTTGGGGATCACACACACTGTAAAGCAAGAGGCCATTCCAGGACTGCCATGTTGTTAATAAGTACAGTACCCAACTAAATTTTATATTTTTGAATATTTCCCTTAATTATAACTGTTCACCAATGTACTTATGCAGTTTATTTTAAAGCACAATGACTGCATTAAGGGAAAATTGATGCATTGTCTTTTATTGTGTAGCAACTTGATGACATCAGCTGTTCTGAAGGCAGCACAGTGGATCTGACAAATCCTGAGGAGCTTCTGAAACAGATCCCTGAGCTAGCTGAATACTTAAAGAAACCTGATAACTGTTTTCCAGAAGGTAAGGATCTGCTGATTTCAGTATGACTAGGAAGTGAGAAGAATAGCCCACAGTAACCTGTTCTCCTAGCTAATCCTGAGACACTCAGGCACTCAACACCAAGGCACTCTATTTGCAAAGTATTTAATGATAAAAATACTTTAATAATACATAATTACCTAGTACTTGTGTAGCACTTTTCATCCATAGATCTCAGTAATAGTGAAAACATATGTGAAATAGGCAGAGAGAATTTATTAGTGTTTGGTTGAATTTCTCTAGGATGGTAAGCCTGGGAGCCCACTTTAAATTGCTGTATAGCTTTTAGCTTTACAAGTTTATTTCATGTCAATATTTGTGCTCAATGCGCTTTTAAATTTTCAAAGCTGGCTCCTTCTAGGCAAAACTATCCATAACAAGATTATTATGGTTGTTGCTAGAGAAAAGTTAAATTTATTAACATTTCCTTCAAACCCTTATATCAATTATTACTCTGAACAAAGGATAGTCTCCCCCTGTTTGTACTAGATGTAATGGTGTACCACATGTCAACAAGGTCAGTTCGCAGTTGGATTAATTTCCTCCTGGGTTACAATTCTATATAACTGTAAAGGAATAGAGTTCCTGGATAATTAACTCTTTGATTTTAGAAAGTCTGACAGTACTCAGATCCTTTTCCCCACAGTGTTCTCGCTCCTTGTCACTTGCATTAGCTGACATGCTGTTTCTTCCTAATGGCTGGAGAGCACTATCCTTGGGTGTCTAGACCTCCAGATAGGGAGAATCAGAGGAGAAAACCAGCTATAGCACAACACCCTTCTCATCTATCTCCTCAGCAAAAGGAGTTTTTTTGAAGAGCAAGAGATGGGACCAGATGAGGAAACACCGCCAGCAGCCAATATATCTTACTCTTTGTCTGATGAGACAAGAATGCCTTCTCCTCCTGCCTTTTGAGATGACTTCAGATGTTTCAAGAGAGTAGCTGAGATTTTACAGTTTTCATTGGAGGAGGTTCAGGAAATGCACCATCAGCTGGTAGATATACTCCACACCATGCCCTAAGACAAAGTAATTCCACCAATGAATGAAGCCTTTCTTGAACCACCTAAACATTGTGGCATCCCCCAGTGACTGCACCTCCAATGTGCAAGAGTGCAGACAAAAAATGTTATGTGCCCGTGAAAGAGACAGAATACCTATTTGCACACCCAATGCTGAATTCGTTGGTGATGGATGCTGTGAATGAGCTCAATAAGCAACACCACTCCAAGACTATCTCATGCTAACTACCAAAAATGTTTGAATTTATTAGGCTGAAAGAGGGGTTTTTTGGTTGTTATTGTTGGCTTCTCTGCAATTTAGAGTGGCAAATTATCAAGCTATCATTGCTAAATACAATTATCTCAACCATAATAATTCACATCTTTTATTGAATATCTTAGTAAAAAAAAGGAGAGTTTTAGGCAATTATTGTGGAGGGTCATCTTATTACCAAAGCATCACTGCAAGCTTCATTGGATGTGGCAGTTAGTGTCCTGCTGTATGGCAACAGCACTAGTGATAAACTGGGCATTGTGGCTGCAATGTTCTGGAATCCTAAAAGAGGTCCAGAATACTGTATAGAATATCTCATTTGATGGGACAAAACTGCTTAGTGATACCATGGACAAACCTCTCCACCTGCAGGAGGCAGGAAAGGATTTCTCCATTGTATGTTAGTTTATCTCCTCCCTCTGAAGCATCAGGGATGGCCACGGCTGAAGATGGGACATTGGAAAGGGAGTGCCAAGACTCTGAGGTTGCACTGAGCATTCTCTCTCTCAGGTGCGTGCCTGGTGGGTTCTTGCTTACATGCCCAGGGTCTAATTGATTGCCATACGTGGAGTCGGGAAGGAATTTTCCTCCAGGTCAGATTGGCAGTGGCCATAGGGGTTTTTCACCTTCCTCTGCAGTGTGGGGTAATGGTAATTTGCTAGCATTAACTTAGTATATCTCACTTAATCATTTCCCTGCCACTGCAGGGGCCTCAGGCATTAGTGCGCCTTTGTGCCTCCTATTTTCTGCTTGTGGCACATAGTAGTTTAGTCTCCTTTGGGCAGTAATACTTTGGTCTAATTTCGGTCGTTAGGTTGTGGGCACTGCGTGGCATTGGTGGCCTGGGATATACGGGAAGTCAGACTAGGTAATCTGATGGATCCCTTCGGCCTCAAACCATGACTGTGACACTCTTTAAAAGATCTGAGGGCAATGCTTCCTTCATTCAGGATTTATAATTTTGCTAGCAAAAGAAAATACAGCAGGTCACAGACATACCAAAGATCTCATCTAGTTCAAATTCCAGCCTATCACAGGGCATCATAGCCACCTAGAAAGAGATCTAAATTCCAGAAGAATAGACCTTCCACATCTGCAACTGCAACAACACAATCTTCCACATCTGGCAAGCACTCATTTTGTATGCAGTGTTGTAGCTGTGTCAGTCCCAGGATACTAGAGAGACAAGGTGGGTGAGGTAATATCTTTCATTGTACTAACTTCTGTTGGCGAGAGAGATAAGCTTTCAAGCTACACAGAGCTCTTCCTCAGGCAGGTGATGACCCGAGGAAAAGGTCTGTGTAGCTTGAAAGCTTGTCTCTCTCACCAGCAGAAATTGGTCCAATAAAAGATATTACCTCACTTCACATTGGTTGAGAGCTGTGAACCACTTCACTGTTTGAATTTACAGCTACATTACCCTTCTACTTCACCATTTGGAGACCATCTTTCCATTTACAAAGACTCATGGGAAAGTTTACATCAGACAAATGGGCATTAGAAGTAATAATCCATTCCTCCACCCCACCCACTTTCCTGTCCCTTTTCAGGGACCCCTCTCACAAGAAGTTTTTTAAGAAAGGAGGTAGAATCTCTTTTACAACTAGAAGATATAGAACCAGTTCTGTTCCCCCAAGTGTGAAGGGTTTTTTACTCAAAATGCTTTAGTGTCCAAGAAGGTAGGGTGGAGACCTATTTTGGATCTCAGAATACTGAACACCTTCATCCAGACACACAGATTCAGGATGGTTACCTCAGCAGCAGCAACAACAACAGTAGATCCAAGTGACTGGTTTGCACACCTTGACCTCCTGTCAAGGTTCCTCCCCCACTCTGAACTCTAGGGTACAGATGTGGGGACCTGCATGAAAAACCTCCTAAGCTTATCTTTACCAGCTTAGGACAAAACTTCCCCAAGGTACAAAATATTCCACCCGTTGTCCTTGGATTGGCCGCTACCACCATCAAACTAATACTGGTTACTGGGGAAGAGCTGTTTGGACGCGTCTTTCCCCCCCAAATACTTCCCAAAACCTTGCACCCCACTTCCTGGACAAGGTTTGGTAAAAAGCCTCACCAATTTGCCTAGGTGACTACAGACCCAGACCCTTGGATCTTAAGAACAATGAACAATCCTCCCAACACTTGCACCCCCCCCCTTTCCTTGGAAATGTTGGATAAAAAGCCTCACCAATTTGCATAGGTGACCACAGACCCAAACCCTTGGATCTGAGAACAATGAAAAAGCATTCAGTTTTCTTACAAGAAGACTTTTAATAAAAATAGAAGTAAATAGAAATAAAGAAATCCCCCCTGTAAAATCAGGATGGTAGATATCTTACAGGGTAATTAGATTCAAAAACATAGAGAACCCCTCTAGGCAAAACCTTAAGTTACAAAAAAAGATACACAGACAGAAATAGTTATTCTGTTCAGTACAATTCTTTTCTCAGCCATTTAAAGAAATCATAATCTAACACATACCTAGCTAGATTACTTACTAAAAGTTCTAAGACTCCATTCCTGGTCTATCCCCGGCAGAAAACAGCATAAGAGAGACCCACAGACCCTTTGTTTCTCTCCCTCCTCCCAGCTTTTGAAAGTATCTTGTCTCCTCATTGGTCATTTTGGTCAGGTGCCAGCGAGGTTACCTTTAGCTTCTTAACCCTTTACAGGTGAGAGGAGCTTTCCCCTGGCCAGGAGGGATTTCAAAGGGGTTTACCCTTCCCTTTATTTATGACACCTCCAGAATGAATATTTTCTTATAGCAAAGTGATTGGCCATGATCACTTTCAGCATTGTGTACTTCCATTTGGCTTTTTGATTGCCCCCAGGGTTTTCATGGAAGTTCTATCACTAGTAGCAGCCTACCTAAGATATTTAGGAGTTCAAGTTTCTCCTTACCTAGATGACTGGCTCCTCAAGGTTGATCTTATGACAAAGTACAGTCAGCAATAAACAAGACTATAACCATATTCAAGACTCGAGGGTTAAAACTCAACAAAGAAAAGTCCACTTTGATACCCATTCAGCTCATTGAGTTTATAAGAACCAACTTGGATTCCAAAACTGCCCGAGGTTAACTGCCGGAAGTTACTTATCAAGGGACAGGTTTGATACAAAGTCAAGCCTCATTTTCCAACTGCACTTGAGTCCACACAAAACAGCAAGTACTTGTTGAGTCATTATGGCTACATGTACATTTGTAACACCTCATGCCATATTGCATCTTCAGTGCCTTAAAATATGGTTAAAGAGTGCTTATATACACAAAAATACAGTCAAGATAGGTCACTGTGAGTTCCTTAGAGGGTTCTTGACTTGCTCAGTTGGTGGGTGGAGGGATCCAAACAAGGTGTGCGTTGGAGTACGTTTTACTCTTTCCCACTCACCTTATCCATGCAGACTATAGTGACAAATGCCTTTGTAATAGTCTGGGGTGCTCATCTTTAGGATCATGTGATCAGAATCATGACAGATGACAAGGCGACCATAGTTTACATAAATCATCAATGAGGAATGAGAGCTTTCTCCCTATGTACAGAAGCAGGGAAGCTAGAGATTTGGTTTATAAGACATCAGATTACCATTTTGTCTGTATACTTACTGGATCTATAGAACACTACAGCAGACAAAGTAGACATTTCCTGTGGGATCACGAATAAGAGCTGAACCATTCAGTGTTTTACAGAATATTTGCTAGCTGT